ATATAGTTTAGTAAGTCATACAATAAATATGATCTCTCTTAATATTTTATTATATTTATTATTGGGAAGAGTATATCCCTACTTGAGTGAGTGAGAGACATTACTTCATGTATTATAAAGAGTACGATATTAGTTATCTTTATTTGCTATTGAGAAAATAAAAACCTCATCCCTTAGAGTATGTTCCTCCCTCCTATTGTAAGAGTGCACTATCAAATATTTGATGTATGTCTTTGTTATGACTATTGTGTTTATAATTGAGATATGATACATTTGACTAATGTATGATTTTGTTTATAGCATAAGAAGTATTATTATTTATTTGATATATGATTTTTATAATAAATTGATATGTTATCATTTTATATTAGATTATTAATATTTGAATATGTTTCATGAGTATTTAATATGATTTTTATGATTTTTTTAAGGTTTCTACTAACATGTATGATCGTTAATATACCTTTATTTTATATTTATTTTTAGAGTAATCTATTGATTTGTAATAAATCTAAGGCTTAGATGGAAAAGAATTTTTACTACTTATAACCCTACCAAGAAGATGATTTTTAATTAAAAATATTTAATATTATAAAGGCAAAAATATTAAATTAAAGAAAAGATATTCAGTAAATTATGGATTTCGAAGTGATGGTTTATTTTTAATAAATCTAGGATGTGACATACTTTATTTTCTTTTCTCTAACTATATCCTTTGAAAACTTAATTATTTAGGTTTACTGTACTTAATTTTTATTTATCTAACAATCTACTTCGAAATTTTAATCCTTTAGGTTTTCTCTACTCAATTTTTATTTATCTAACTATATACTTTGAGTTTCTGATTCTTTAGGTTCTCTATTCAATTTTTATCTATCTAAGCATCTACTTTAAAATTTTGGTTCTTCAGGTATTATATATTTAATTTATGTTAATATAATCATCTAATTTGAAATTTTAATTCTTTAGGAATTCACTTAATTTTTATCTCTAACTATCTATCTTGAAAACCTAATTCTTTAGGAGTTCTCTACTTAATTTTTATTTATGTAACTATCAACCTTGAAAATTAAAATCTTTGGGTATTCACTACTTAACTTTTATGTATCTATCTAGGTTGAAAATTAACTCATTAGGCATTATTTATTAACATTTTTATTTATATAATTATCTACTCTGAAATCTTAATTCTTTAGGTTTGGCCTGCTAAATTTTTATTTATCTATCTACTTTGAAATTCTGATTCTGTCTGTATTCACTATTCAATTTTTATTTATCCAACTATCTATTTTGAAATTTTATTTCTTTAGGCATTCTCTACTTGGTTTTTTTTATCCCTAACTATCTACTATTCTCAATTACCTCATTTTCATTTATCTAACTATCTACATTAAAATTTAATTTCTCTAGTTACTCTCTACTTAATTTTGATTTATCTAACCATATACTTTGAAATTTTGATTCTTTCGGTATTATCTGTTCATTTTTTATTTATCTGACTACTAATTTGAAATTTTGATTCTTTAGGTATTTCTACATAATTTATATTTATTTAACTATCTACTTTGAAATTTTAATTCTTTAGGCATTCTCTACTTCATTTTTTTCTCTAAATACCTACTTTGAAATTTTAACTGTTTAGGTATTCCCAACATATTTTTATGTATATAAACTTTACTTTGAAAATAAAAATTTTTATTTATTCCATATTTATGTAATTATCTACCTTGAAATATTTGAGTATTCACTACTTAACTTTTATGTATCTATCTAGGTTGAAAATTAACTCATTAGGCATTCTTTAACAAAATTTTTACTTATCTAATTATGTACTCTGAAAACTTAATTCTTTAGGTTTGGTCTGCTAAATTTTTATTTATCTATCTACTTTGAAATTCTGATTCTGTCTGTATTCTCTATTCAATTTTTATTTATCCAACTATCTACTTTGAAATTTTGATTCTTTAGGTATTTTCTACTTAATTATTATTTATCTAATTATCAATTTTGAAATTTTAATTCTTTAGGCATTCTCTACTTAGTTTATTTTTTTATCCTTAACTATCTGCTATTCTCAATTACCTCATTTTTATTTATCTAACTATCTACATTAAAATTTAATTTCTCTAGTTACTCTCTACTTAATTTTGATTTATCTAACCATCTCTGAAATTTTGATTCTTTTGGTATTATCCATTCAATTTTTATTTATCAGACTATTACTTTGAAATTTTGATTATTTAGATATTTTGATTCTTTAACTATCTATTTTGAAATTTTAGTTCTTTAGGCATTCTCTACTTAATTTTTATCTCTAACTACCTATTTTGAAATTTTAACTGTTTAGGTATTCCCAAATTATTTTTATGCATATAATATTTGCTTTGAAAATTAAATTTTTTTATTTATATATTTAATTCTTGTAAAATAATTCTTTACGTATTCTATATTTAATTTTTATTTATCTAATTATCTACTTTAAAATTTTAATTGTTTATGTTTCCTCGACTCAATTTGTATTTATCTAACTATCTATTTTGAATTTTTTATTCTTTAAGTATTCTTTGCTAAATATTTATCTAATGATCTATCTACTTTAAAATTTTAATTATTCAGGTATTATCTACTTATTTTTTACTCTGATATTAATTTATTAATGACTTAGATGTTATAGGATACCTCATTTGTGAAAATTTCCACTTATTTGTTATGAGATACAATATCTTTGGAATAACTAAAATAGAAGAGAGAAGAGAAAGCTGTTCTAAAGTACTTCATATTTTATTTGTCTAATTACCTACTCTGAAATTTTAATTCTTTCGGTATTTTCTACTTATTTACTCTAAATTACTTCATGTTTTACTCTAATTTTAATTCTTTTGGTATTTCTAAAGGACTGTTCAACGAATCACATTACGTGTTGGATCATAACGAAATTTATCGCTAAAAAATAATTTATCACTAAAAAAATATATTAAATTAATTTTTTATCCATCATTTTTGTAATGATTCAACAACGTGTTATATTTTTTTCCAATGTAGTTGATAACGTTAGGACAAATTCGATTATTTATTTTACCTTCAGAATTATTGAATCTCAATATAATTTTTTTAAGTATATGAATCACGATATTAATAGGATCCAAGTATATGGTATAATATGTAATTAGTCCTCATTTATTTCACATCTCTAAATTGAATGATAGAGAGAGAGAGAGAGAGATACAATTGCTGCTTCTTTGTTGCTTAGAGAGTTTGACAAATGGAAGTTGCCACTCATTTGACATCCTTTTCACAGTTGAACTCGTGATTGTCATTGCTTGCGGTGAATTATATTGGGATATTATATTTATATGCGTCGGGACAATGGAGCTCTTCCTCACCGGAGAATTCAGCACCTGAGACTTTTGAAGTATACTGAGAAAAAGTAAGGATGAGTGTGGACTCAGCCATAAGACCTAATCTAACCTTTTATTAGAACAAAAAAAATGGAGGATTTTACCACCAAAAGAGGAACTATTCAAAGAAAATATCAGAAAAGGATAGAGGACATGCATGTACTGATACTGATAGATTGCAACACCACAGTCACCCTTCTCTTCCAACTATATCTGTTTTGGTCAAGTCAACCCTTTAGAAATTTTGTGCTGGGTAAATGGGTCAAACCAGCAAACTTGATTTATGGCTTTGACTAAATTAGGCTCGTTAATCAAACAAAATGGTTGACTTGCTCCTTGTCTACCTCTTGGTTTTTCTCTGAGACCAAAACTCTCCAAGCTGCAGTGTTATACAAGTGCACATCAAATACTACATTTGAGTTCTTCATCGTGTTCAGATCCCCCAGGTGAGTTCAGATCATTCGGATGGATTTTAGAATTCTCAGTTGCCAACATGATGATCTTATCTTAGTTTCTTCAGAGCAAGTGATGTCTAAGCACTCTGAAATCAGAGCTCCGATTTGTCTTCTTCACTCTCATTTCTTTTGTCTTTGTCATGAGCTTGATCATTTCAGGCATCTCAGCCTTCAATTTCAATGGGATCTGCTGCAAAGATCAGCAGTTGTAAGACTCGTATATTTCTTAGAGATATGTTATACCAAAAAAACAAAACATGAGACTCGCATGATTTAATATTACTTCCAACCACCTTGCTTTCCACTTTCTAGTGTGAACTGTAGCTTCTGATCCATGACTGATGACTCCTTAATGTCCAAGTTAATTAATATATAACATTATCACATTTGGTAGCCAGACTTTGGATGTCATCATATATCGCTTTCAATTATTGTTGTTTCGTGTGAAAATTGCACATCAAAAGTACAATAATGTATGATTATATATAGAGTTAAATGAGTCCACTATCATTAATTTATGCTCTTAAGTATTTCAGATTAATGATGTATATATATTAAAGTCGTAAAGGACTTACCATAACTATCAATCAGAAAGACTATGAAATCAATTTTAGGTGATTTCCGGCCTCCATTTTTGACTTCTTCAAAATATTTAGATACTGTCCCTTTCATATTCTCTGCATCTCAACACCCAAAAAATGAAAGAAATTAACTAAGATTCAAACCAGATCACAAACAAGTTAAATTAATTCTATGCATTCATGTCTCCTACTCTAGAAGAGGAAAAAATTTCCCCCTTCTGAGTAATAGAATTGATATGGCTAATCCCTCTCCAGATAACATTAAGCCGATCCCCAAGAACAATCCAACCACCCGACACCTTTCTGATGCACACTGCCGCTGTCTTCCTGACGTCAGCAGACCCGATGTCGACCCAGGATAGTCGCAGATTCCTGGTTGGTGGCTCGGCCGAGGTAGTGACTCCGAGCTGGCAAAAGTCTCGACTAATCCTGCTGACTTCTGTGCGCCCTTTCTTACTGCCAGCCCTCCCAAGTCCAAGTCCAAGGAGATGTTGCCATTAAACTAGCTTTGATTCTTCGCTTGGGTTTCCCCGTTCAATCTATAAATGGGTCTCACGTGCCTCCACAAAACACAAAACAAGACTCTTCTCCTTCCTCTCCAGAGGGGTACCGGCGGAGGGAGGAGCTGACGATGGAGAAGGAGGAGGGGCAGCAGCCGCCGCCGCCATGGCGGGAGCAGCTGACGGTGCGGGCGATGGTGGTGAGCTTCGCGCTATCGGTGATGTTCAGCGTGATCGTGATGAAGCTGAACCTGACCACCGGCATCATCCCTTCCCTCAACGCCGCCGCCGGCCTCCTCGGCTTCTTCCTGGTCAAGCTCTGGACCAAGGCGCTGGAGCACGTCGGCCTCCTCCGCACCCCCTTCACCCGCCAGGAGAACGCCGTCATCCAGACCTGCGTCATCGCCGCCTACGGCCTCGTCTTCAGCGGTGAGCTCGCCGGATTCTCCTTTTTCTTTCGTTCTTTGAGCAAGAGATGCTGTTTGGAGAATATATTATTGGTGTTTGTTTTATTGCGTGGGGTTGACGTCTTGGATTGCATCACTTTTTGAGGTCGTCTTCTTCTACCTAAAGAATTTGCGAGGTTAATAAACTAAGTTGAATATGAAAATTTATTTATTATTATTATTTATTACGAGGAAAGAAGACAATAATTTTGATATATATTAAGGAAAAAAAAACCAAAACATTTGTTATTTGTGTATAAGCAACAAGGAATAAGACTCTTCCTTGAGTTAACCTTAATTTTTATATACTTATGATATGGAAGAAGGAAATAAAATTCTCTTGATATTTCTAAACTTGTTGAAGAGAAATAATAGGAGCACATCCTCTCCAATCAAAATCTTAAAGCATATAGGGTATTTACAAAAAAACTCAATCCTAATTTTTTTATTTTTTTTTCTTTGCCTATAAATCTTTTGATATTTGAATTTATTGTCCTATAAATACTTGATTAACTCTGGGCATTTGTTTTTGTTTACTTGATTCATATGCACTACCAAGAGCATATATAAGATCATGTTTTGAGCTGCTAATGTAGTCCAATCATAAGTTCTTCATATCCATCTGGAATTGCAGCAAAAGGACTATCTTTTGTTTTCTCCTTGTAGGATTAAAGGATTGTGTTTCTTAGCATAGGATTTCTCTTGCATGAAGCAGATTATGTTCTTGCTTGGCTACCACAGTTGACAATCTACGGGTGGATGGGTTTGACCTACAGTCCATGATAAGACCACATACTTCTTGTGGGCAGGTGGCTTTGGAAACTACCTTTTTGGCATGAGTTCAAAGATCGCCAGCCAAGCAGCAGAAGCAAATGATTCGGATAACATAAAGGACCCAAGCTTAGGATGGATGATAGGATATATGTTCATCATTGGTTTTCTTGGACTGTTCTCTCTTGTTCCCCTCAGAAAGGTGAGTCATCATCTATCAAATCAAACCCTAAATTCTCTACGAGTTCTTCAAGTTTGAATGCTTGGTTGTAGATACTGATCATCGACTACAAGCTGATCTATCCAAGTGGCACTGCAGCTGCATACCTTATCAATGGCTTCCATACTCCTCAGGGTGAAAAGCAGGCCAAGTAAAGATCTCAACACCTAATCAGACAACTCTCTTCTGCATCTCCACTGAGCCTTTAATGCCTTTCAGGAAACAAGTATGGACACTGGGCAAGTCCCTCATCTGCAGCTTCCTCTGGGGTTTCTTCCAGTGGTTTTACACGGCTGGTGATGCTTGCGGGTTCAAAGCTTTCCCTACGTTCGGTCTCAAAGCTTATGAGAACACGTAACATGCACAGCATTCTTGGAGTGTTTTGAGGTGATTGGACGTAGCTTTCGAGAAACATGCATGACTGTTTTGTTCTCTCAGGTTCTTCTTCGACTTTTCTGCTACGTATGTTGGAGTTGGAATGATTTGCCCACACATCGTGAATGCATCGTTTCTCCTGGGAGCCATTCTTTCATGGGGAATCATGTGGCCTCTCGTAAGCAATCAAAGAGGAGACTGGTATCCTGCAGATATCCCTTCAACCAGCCTTCAGAGCTTGCAAGGTTACAAGGTAAGAGAAGGAATGCTTTGGGGTGTCGATTGGATGTCATCGTCCCTCTTCTACCCTCTCCTCTTCCTGCAGGTCTTCATAGCCGTCGCCATGATCCTTGGAGATGGCCTCTACAACTTGCTCAAGGTCCTGCGTCGAACGACATCCTCCTTCTTTGCCGCCGTGTGGAGGAGCCCCGAGAGCGTGCTTCCCATCGTCGACGACGACGACCGCCCTGCAGAGAGCCCTCCCGTTTCACCCGAGGACCAAAGGCGAGCTGAGGTCTTCCTCAAGGAAGAAATCCCTGGGTGGATTGCGTATGGGGGCTACGTCGCCCTGGCCGTGCTCTCCATTGTCACGCTTCCCCACGTCTTCCCCCCTCTCAAGTGGTACTACATCTTGGTGGCCTACGTGGTCGCCCCTGTCTTGGCCTTCTGCAACGCCTACGGTTGCGGCCTTACAGACTGGAACATGGCCTCCACCTATGGGAAGCTCGCTATCTTCATTTTCGGAGCTTGGGCAGGCGCCTCTCATAGCGGTGTGCTCGCAGGCCTCGCGTCCTGCGGCGTCGTGATGTGCACCGTTTGCACTGCATCGGATCTCATGCAGGACTTCCGGACCGGCTACTTAACAATGTCTTCTCCGAGGTCGATATTCGTGAGCCAAGTCATTGGCATCGCCATGGGCTGCGTGATTGCTCCCTGCGTCTTCTGGCTCTTCTACAATGCCTTCACCGACATCGGCGTCCCTGGCAGTCAATACCCTGCACCTTTTGCTCTCATGTACCGGAACATGGCGATACTAGGAGTCGATGGCTTCTCCTCGCTGCCGAAACACTGCCTCGCTCTCTGCTACTCCTTCTTCGCGCTCGCCATCGCCATCAACCTGGCGAAAGACTTGTCTCCCAAGAAGGTGGCAAGGCTTATACCGATTCCAATGGCAATGGCCATACCGTTCTACATCGGATCGTCCGTCGCGGTAGACATGTGCGTAGGAAGCGTGATACTGTATGTGTGGGCAAAGATCGATCAGGAGGCGGCCGACGCATCTGGTCCGGCAGTGGCGTCTGGCTTGATATGTGGGGATGGGATGTGGGGTCTTCCTCAAGCTGTGCTTGCGCTGGCTCAAGTGCGGCCACCAATGTGCATGCAGTTTGTTCATGGAGAATGAATGAGACAGTCAATTGGAGATGTAGTTAAAATACACAGGAGCTTCATCTGAACTCTGCTAACATTCTTTGAATGCAATACATCTTGTCTTCATATCAACAAGCAACTTGGTGACAGTATGACCAACAACTAGGAAGTTTGTGTAATTGAGACATCATGCCTCTCTCCACTAGTCACAACATATTTTCCTAAAACTTGTTTTGAGTTCTTCAAAAACTATCGAACAATAAACCATAATTATTGCCTCTTAAATATCAGCAGCAAGGAAGTTTGCTGATAGAGACACCTGAAAATTAAAAAGGTAAACAATGAGCATGAAGTTCACCGAAAAGGCAAAAAAAAGGAATTTATATCACCATCTCTGAATGTGTGCTCCGGCGAGGGCGGAAGGATTTGGTATTAAACAAGTTCAAAAAACTTTGGTGTCTACCTTTTCGCCGAGTTTGAATGACGGGAGACCTCTATATGAGCATGTCCTACAGAGGAATGCATCACCGAGACCACACTGCGAAAAAGGATTAATTATCAAAACGAAAACCAAAAGAGTTTTTATGGACATTCAAGATGTTTTAAGAATGTGAACTTTGTTACTTACATTGCCACATGCTGATCGAGGGTTATTTATCTGCTCTGCAGTGAGACCAAGTTTCAGCACTTCAGCTTCTTCCTCAGCCTGACCAAATGTGCAGTTCTTGCAGGCTTTTCTCGTCTTTCCAACTTCACAATCTCCATCTGCATTATATTAATGAATCATAATCAATCTTTTTCTACTGTTATGTTGCAAAAGGCGGTGCCATTATTGTCAGGTATATGCGACCTTGTGGCAACTGTGGTTTCTTCAAGTCTTCCTCGGTGAAAAGCGTATCTTCGTCGATTAGATCAGTTTCAACATCAATTTGAATCTCTGGAACTGTTTTAGTTGCCTTTTTTTACGAGGAATGATGAGCCCATCGTCCAAGAAGCCTTTTTGGCCTTGATCTGTAACAAATTGTCAAAAGTTAACAGCAACAAAGACGGCATAAATATAATCTGAAGGCCATTAGATATTTTCTGAAACCCAGAAAATATATGCAAGCTCAACAAGATTGATCTACTCATGTTGCAACAATGCTGAAATTTCCCAATGCCATATTTTGATCAATTTCAAATATGTTAAGGTAATCTATTTTACAGTGGCTTCACATAAATTATATGGCGTCCATCAAAAACAAGAGAGGAATGCCTTGTTGAATTTGAAATGGTCAACTTGAAGAAATTGGGACAAGTTACAATATGGCAGAAAGTGTAGACTAAAAAACCTACCTATAAACTGTGGATATGATAAGTTGAACATGCAGCAGACAATATTAAGAACACAGCTAAAAAAAAATTCATAATTAAATATCACTATTTGCTTCAAGAACTCATGATAGTTTTATGAAGAAGCTGTTGGTCCAGCCCAGGTGGACTTGGACCGGAAGATTTGGTCTTGGATCGAATAATTTGAGCCCAAATCTAATCTATTAAAAAAAAAGAAGAAAAAAAAAGAGACCTAAAGAAGAAAAAAAAACTAAGGTTTTGAAATTTTTGTTAGATGATTAAATGACTAAATTTTATTGGTTTTGATTCAAATTTTATGTGGAGAATTAATACAATAAGCTCTACGATCCTAATGGTGTCGATTTACGATTTATCCTATCTGAGATACTTTTATGATATATTCACTTGGTGAGATTTATATATTTCTTTTGATGAAATTCATCTATGGTGATGATAATATATTATTATTAAGCCAAGATTTGTATTCTTGATATTATTGTGATCCTCTTGTTATTGTGAAGAAGACTTATTGTAAACCTATTATCATTATTGGTGATAGTGAAGGTTTGAAGTTGAGTACGATCTCGTAGTTTTTTTCATAGTGGGTTTTTTATATAAAAAATTCAGTATCTCACTTTATGATTGATTCATTATTCTACTATTTATGTTGCTTTGGTTAATATTTACTTTTGATAAAAAATTAGTATTTTGGTGAGGAACTTATTTTAATAAAAAAAGAAAAAAAATTAATTTCAATAGTTTTCTCAACAAAGTGGTATCAAAGCATTATGTTATTTAATACTATTTTTTGTTATGTGGTTGAAATGAAAGAGTCCAAATTATTTCACTTGAGACCTATTTGTATAAGTCCATCAAAGTTAAAGAAAAATCTTCTATAATGAAAGATAAGGAATGGGAGATTCAATATAGAAAAGCTATTGCTTATTTTAGAAGATGGATGGATGTAAATTTGTATGAGAATATTTCTAATGAAACCAAAGCTAATATTTTTTGGTAAAAGTTAGAAAATCTCTTTGTAAAAAAGATAGTGAGAAATAGAATTTCTCTCTTAACATGGCTTGTTAATTTAAAATATAAAGATGATAGTAATATTATTAACCACATAAGCTTATTTTAAAATCTTACAAACAAGTTGGTTGCTATAAAAATGAATATATACGATGATATACAAGGATTGTTACTTCTCAACTATTTACTAGAAAGTTAAAAAATGTATATGGTGATAATTTTTAACTCTATGCTAGAGAGGACTCTAATCATAGATATAGTCAAAGACAGTTTGCTAAATGAAGATGTTAGAAGAAAAGAACAAGGAGAATTTTTTTCTAGTGCACTTGTTATTGAAAAATAAGAAAGACATGGAAGAAGTCATTATAGAAGTTCATATGGTTATAGAGGAAGATCTAAGTTTAGAAGAGATATTAAGTTCTTCCACTATAATAGGCTAGACCATATGAAGAAAGAGTGTAGGTTTTGGAAGCGAGAACAGAATGAAAGAAAGAAAAATGAGAAAGAGACCAATACAATTATTGCTAAAGGTGATATCGTTATTGTTTGTGATGATGGATATATCAATCTAGCAACTCTGGATAGTAACTAGGTAATTGACTCTAGCGTTTCATTTCATATTACTTCTCATGGTGATTTTTTTAGATCTTACACTACTAGTGATTTTAGTAATACCAAAATAGAAAATAGTGGTATATCTAAGATTATTAGTATTGAAGATATTTACTTAGAGACTAGTACTAGGAACCAATTGATACTCAAATATGTTAGACAAGTTCTAGATATCCATCTTAATTTGATATCTATAGACAAACTTGATGATAAAGGGTTTATACACTATTTTGGTGAAAGCAAATAGAAGTTCACTAAAGATTCTCTAGTTATGACGAGAGAAAAGAAGCTAATCTCTTTCTACGTCATGGAAGCTAAGCTATACAAAGGGGATATTGATATAATTTAAAAATGTGAAAGTATAGATCTTTGGCATAAGATGTTTGGTCATATCAACAAGAAGAGACTTCAAACTCTTATTAGAAAGTAGTTCTTATCGGAGTTGCAAGGTACATCTCTTAAATCTTATGATCATTGCTTAGTTGGAAAAACACATAGAGTTACATTTCATACTCATCCGTCATCTAGAAGATCAAATGTTGTTGATTTGGTTTATATTGATGTTCGTACTATGTAAACTAGAACTCTTGAAGGTGTTCTTTATTTTGTTACTTTTATTTATGACCATTCTAGAAAAGTTTAATCATTTATTTTGAAATATAAAGATAAGGTACTCAATATTTTCAAAGAGTTTCATATTAGTATTAACAGAAAAATAAAAAAAAACTAAAGTGTGTTTGAGCAAATAATGGTAATAAATATAGGAGTCTTTTTGAGAATTATTATAGGTTCTATAATATTAAGCTTAAGAAAATAGTTCCTAAAACTTCTTAGCAAAATGATATGGCAAAAAGGATGAACAGAATTATTAAAGAAAGTATTAGATGTATATTTTTCCATGCCAAATTACCTAAGTTATTTTAGGGGGAGGCTTTGAGAACTACTTGATAAATCTTTTTCATTTAATTCATCTGAAAGGTGATGTTCCAGAGTATAAAAAAGGAAAGATGCATCTTATGATTATTTAAGAGTCTTTAAGTGTAAATTATTTGTTTATATTCCTAAAAATAAGAAGTCCAAACTTGATAATAAGGCAAAAACATATATTTTCTTGGAGTATGAGCATGAAGAGTTTGGATACAGATTATGAGATTCAGTGAATAAGAAGATTATTAGAAGTAAATATGATATATTTTTTGAAGATCAAATGTTTGATGATGGTGATAATGTTGAGAAGCCAAAAACCTTTATTTATATCCCTTGGAGTTTAAGTCTAATTCCTCCATCTATAGTTCATGATAATTATGAGGGAGATAAACAAAAAGATTGTGGTGAGAATGTAAGTGATGATGCTTCTACAATTGATAATCTTGAATCAACTGAATAATTTGAGCTAGTACCTCCACCACTAGTTAGATTCCATTGAGAAAATCCATAAGAGAGTGATAACCATCTATAAGATATCCTTCAAATGAGTATGCTATACTTACTGAGAGGGAAGAGCTAGAAACTTACCAAAAAACTATTTTACTTTAGCATAAGAATGAGTGGGTTAAAGTCATGTAAGAAGAGATGAGATTCTTGCTTGAGAACCACATCTATGACTTAGTAAAGTTGCCTAAAGGGAAGAAAGTTCTCAAGAATGAATATTTTTATAAATTAAAAATTAAAAATAATAGCCCAAAACAAAGATACAAGGCATGACTAGTTGTGAAAGGATTCAGTCAGAATAAATGTATTGACTTTGAAAAAATAATTTCTCATGTAGGAAAAATGTCCTTTATCAAAGTTATTCTTGGTTTGGCTACCGCTTGAACTTAGAAGTTGAGTAGCTTAATGTGAAAATTATATTTCTTCATGGTGACTTAGAAGTAAAAATTTACATGGAGTAATCAAAAGGTTTCAAAGTCAACTAAAAGGAAAATCCAATGTGTAAGCTTAAGAAAAACTTATACGGACTCAAACTAGCACCTAGACAATGATACAAGAAGTTTGATTCCTTATGATGAGCTAAGGGTATAATAGAACCACATCTGATCATTGTATGTTTACAAAGAAGTTTTCATATAATGATTTCATTATTCTCTAACTATATATTGATGATATGCTGATTGTTGACCATGATGCTAATAAAATTGAAGCTTAAAAGAGAGCTAAGTAAGTCTTTTGCCATGAAAGACTTAGATCAATGAAACAAATACGTGATATGAAGATTCTTCTTGATAGGAAGAATGAGAATATTTGGATATCTCAGAAGACTTACATTAAAAAGATTCTTGAAAAATTCAACATGCATAAAACCAAGGTAATTTGTTCTCCACTTATAGGTTATTTCAAGCTTAGTTTGAAATAATGGCTTATAAGTGAGAAAGAAAAAGAAAAAATGTCTAGAGTACCTAACTCATCCAATTGGCTCATGTAGTTAGTTTATGTTTTGACAATGGTAAACATGTGCTAGAGGGGTACATAAATACAGACATAATAAATGATATTGATTCCATGAAATTCACTTTGGGGTTCTTGATGACATTTACAGAGGGAGCAATTTTTTAGTAGTCTAAGTTTATTGCTCTATCAACCACATAAGCAAAATATATAACAATTACTGAAGCCTGCAAGGAAGCCTTATGGATGAAAAATTTTCTATAGGACTTAAGCTTGAAAAAGGAAGGATATACTATTTATTATGACAGTTAGAGTGTCATTCACCTCTCCACGAATTCAACATATCATTCTAGATCCAAGCATATTGACATAAGATATCATTTAATTCGTGATATACTTGAGATGAAAGAATTACACTTAGAAAAAATATATATTAATAAGAATGAATTAGACATGTTGACAAAGTCTTTGCCTAAGGAGACGCTTGAAGCATGTAAGCGAAGAACATGCTTAATACAGCCAACCATATAAGTTAGAGAGGGAGAATTATTGGGTCCAGCCCATAGGTGGGTTTGGACCGAACGATTTAGACATTGAGCTTAAATATGATCTATTAAAAAGAAAAAAAAAAGGAAAGAAAAGTGAAAACGTGCACTACAAGAGATATGTGAACAGAAGAGAACTAAAAAAAAGAAGAGAGAGAGAGAGAGAATAGAAAGAAAAAGCTAGGATTTAGAGGATTTTGTTAAGTAATTAAACTTAGTTGATTTTGACCCAATTTTATATAGAGAATCTTTACGATGAACTCTACGATCCTAATGGTGTCGATATATAATTTATTCTTTTTGATGTACTTTTCTGATATACTATGTTTAAATCTTTCTTTTAATAAAATCCGGTGATGATGATATATTATTGTTGAGCCAAGATCTATATTCTTGATGTTATTATAATTTTCTTATTATTCTAGAGGAGACTTATTATAAACCTATTATTATTATCAAGTTTGAAGTGGACTATGATATCGTGATTTTTTTGAGTTTTTCATCTAAAAAATTTGATCTCACTTTATGATTGATTCAATATTATATTATTTATATTATATTGATTAATATTTATTTATTTTATAATAAATTAATATTTTGATGAAAATCTTATTTTAATACACGAAGAGGAAAAGAAATATTTTCTTTGGCCACAAAAGCAGATTCAAAAGACAGCCTATGGCAATGGGTACGGGTGTTCTTACTCGTTTGTTCTTCGTATGCTTCCAGCAAAAGCTACCGGTTCACTCCACAAATATTTCATGGATCTCATAAACCATTGTGTCCTAATTTACTTATTTTTCTTATTTTAAGAGAACATTCAATTGTTATCTCTAGAATTCCTCACATCCACTCATGGACTTTCCCTGCTGGCCTGCCACACGCTTTACCTTTGTGTTTCTGCGCCAACCTGTGCATGATACATCAACTTTATACATGTTTATCACACAAACAAACAAATTAGGGACTGATTGATTGATACATCCATTGCATTTTTTATCAATAAATTCTACATATCGCCCATCACCTACTTCTTGAGCAAGGGGGACCAACATTAGAAATCCTCTTCTCCATTGCCTTTCTGCTTAAAGGTGATCACAAGCTTAATTCAAATGCAAAGCTACTTGCAAAAGCAGAGGATACATAGAAATCGAAGTACTTCCAGAGATCATTCTTTAAGCTACAATTAGATCCATCATGACACCACTTCAATATGTGAGCTGCAATGGTGGAGTACAGGTTTACACACCACCAATCAAAGTGGGAAGAGTTAAACTGAGCCATTTCATCATCCCCAACTATAAAGTGCATCACTGCGTCTTCGGGAAGACCACAGAAATGGGGTGGTCGAAGGTCAGCAGAACTCTTCTCTGTTGCCTGTGTCTTGCGGCGCTGCTGACCTCAGTGAGCTCTGCCGACTTCGGTGACCTCTTCCAGCCTTACTGGGCGGCAGATCACATAGTGGCCATGGATGGAGAGCCACTTAAGCTCACTCTCGATAACACCTCAGGTTAGCTTTCGCTCTGCCTCAGTTTCACTCATGACTTTGAGGTTCTCATCAACCTTGGCTGCTGTTGATCAAGGATGTGGGTTTGAGTCCAAGAAGAAGTACCTCTTCGGCCAAACCAGCATGCAGATAAAGCTCGTCGAAGGCGACTCGGCCGGCACGGTGACTGCCTTCTACGTATGTTCTTCTTTAGTTCTCCTAAGCCCACCCATGAAGTGTTTTCTTGGTTGCTGCGATGAGGATTTGTTGCATGCCGACAGATGTCATCCGATGGCCCAAACCACAACGAGCTGGACTTCGAGTTCCTCGGCAATGTCACAGGCGAGCCGTACTTGGTGCAGACCAACGTCTACGTCAACGGCACCGGCAACCGGGAGCAGCGCCACTCTCTATGGTTCGATCCGACAGCCGACTTCCACACCTACTCCATCCTGTGGAATCGCTACCACATCAGGTGAGGAACTCGAGCACCCAATCCGGATCGTTCCTTCTAGGATACTCATCATCCTCGTGTCCGCATCGGAAATTTCCAGGTTTCTCGTCGACGGTGTTCCGATGCGTATGTTCGCTAACAAAGAGGCCGCTGGCGTCTTGTACCCCAAGGACCAGGCCATGGGGGTGTACGCGTCGGTGTGGAACGCCGACGACTGGGCGACGCAGGGCGGGCGAGTGAAGACCAACTGGAGCCACGCGCCGTTCGTGACGGCCTTCCGGGGCTACGAGATCGACGCGTGCGAGGCGGAGGAGGCGACGGGCGGGTGCGCCGGCGGTGGGGTGTTCTGGTGGGACGCGCCGGCGATGAGCGGGCTCAGCCCGCATCAGCGGCGCCAGCTCAGGTGGGTGCAGAGGAGGCACCTGGTGTACGACTACTGTAAGGATAGGCCCAGGTTCCATGAGATGCCTGGGGAATGCTTGAGCTGACCATGTCGCAGTCTTACACTGCCTGCCAAATGAACAATGGAGTTGCAGTCTCTTCGCTCATGCAATTGGTCTGCAACATCTCCCTGGAATTGCACATTGCACCTCACTTAATTGTACCTGTTTTACTTTCTCATGTTAAGAATTTGAGATAAGAATCCAATGAAAAATCAAATTCTAATACATATTGGTGTCTTTTCGAGTGTGAATTCTTAGTGGAATTATAAGGACGTGTTTGACCAACCGAAGTCCCAAATCTTACTCTTGAGAAGCGTGAAATAAGTGGTCTCCGGTTCCTCCCTTGAGTCGTGTTGTGAAGGGCATGACGTATATCAGCTGTGTTGAATGGTCGACGGCGGGCGAAGGGGTCGTTGCTCGACCGACACGGCGGAATGGGTTTGAAAATTCTATGATGTGAAATCGATGTGGTTGACCAATTGATTGCTTATCAGTAGCTCTGCTCACTGCATCATGGATCAAAAGCTCTTAGGGAGAGAGAGAGAGAGAGAGAGAGAGAGAGAGAGAGATGAGGGGATCACTTATGTTGCTGCTGCTGATCTCGATGGTGATGGCGGGAGCTGCATCGGCATCCACCGAACACGATACCACCATTCCCCTCTTCGCCGATTGCGTAGCAAGCTGCGGGGCCATGTTCATCCCCTACCCTTTTGGCACAGCGGGAAAGTACAGCTGCTCCAGGCCAGGCTTCAGCTTCGTCTGCAACTACAGCTCCGATCCCCCCACGCTCCTCTTGGCCGACGGCGTAACCCAGGTGATCCTCGTGTCACTGGACAACCACACCATCAGCGTGAGATTCAGCATCGCCGCCATGAGCGCCAACGAGGACTCCCTCTTCACCTCGTGGACATCCCCTCCAGGGGCACCGTACGCCATGTCACCGACCTCCGTCACGCTGACGGTCGTCGGCTGTAGCGCCACGGCCTACCTGCTGGACCTCGTCACCAACAAGATCATCGGCAGCTGCATCACCGACTGCTCCGACAGGGAAATGGAGGCCATGGAGGGGGCGGCTTGCAGCGGCATCGGCTGTTGCCAGGCCACCTTCCTTTCGCCGGTGAGGTCGTTCGGGATCAATCTCACCCGCCATGACCGGCACTCCGGTCGAGCCACCAGCGTCAAGGCCTTCGTGTCCAGCGCCCAAGCTGTATACAGGTTCAGGAAGGAGGACCTTTTCACGGAAGACACCGTCACAGGTAGCACGATGGCAGTCGCCGTCCTGGAGTGGGCGATCATCGAGCAATCTTCCTGCGAGGATGCCGCCAAGAACACCACGACTTACGCGTGCCTCAGCACCAACAGTGTTTGCTCCAACACCAAAACGAAGGGTCTTGGATACTACTGCGAGTGCTCCTCCGGTTACGAGGGCAATCCTTACATCCCTGGAGGTTGCCTAGGTAACATCACCTGCTACCCGACTAATCCTCTCTCTCTCTCTCTCTCTCATGTGAAATCCATTATATGAATGATCACATGGATAAGCCAGGTGTGGATCTTTTATCTGACCGGATCCGATCGACAACATATAGATTCGCTGCGACTCCCTCAAACCTAGCAAAGATTTCTTGTTTTCTGATGCTTATTCTGTGATGTCTTGCTAGATATTGATGAGTGTGCAGACCTAGAGAAGTACTCCTGCACTGGGATTTGCGTCAACTACGCTGGTGGCTACACTTGCTGTCCACCAGGATCACATGTCGATTCCAGACTCAGCTGCGTTCCCCCAAAAAGCCAAAAGATTATAATGGGTAATTAATCGATCCACACAAACTACTTCGATCGGTTTATTGATTTACCACAGACTTCATCTCCATTGTAATTTTCAGGTGTCATCATTGGCGTTAGCATTGGCTTCGGCCTCCTGCTGATGCTGGTATGTGCAGTCATCTTCAACCGGAGGCTGAAGGAGATGAAACTGAAGAAGTTGAAGGAGCGATACTTCCATCAAAACCATGGCTTGCTATTGCGAAGACTGATCGCGACCGACGATGTTAATGCCGAGAGGACCAAGATTTTTCCCCTGGAAGAACTAGAGAAAGCCACCAACAGCTTCGACCCCGCACGAATCCTGGGGCATGGAGGCCACGGCACGGTTTACAAAGGAATTCTGTCGGATCAGCGCGTGGTTGCCATTAAGAAGTCCAAGATCGTGATTCAGAGAGAGATCGACCAGTTCATAAATGAGGTCGCGATTCTTTCTCAGATCAACCACAGGAACATCGTAAAGCTCTACGGATGCTGTTTAGAGACGGAAGTGCCGCTATTGGTGTACGAGTTCATCACGAACGGAACTCTCGCTGATCATCTCCACGTCGAAGATCGTTCCTCCTCTCTGTCATGGAAAGACCGCCTAAGGATCGCCGTGGAGACCGTAGGAGCGCTTGCTTATTTGCACTCTGCTGCTTCCATTTCCGTATTCCATAGAGATGTTAAGTCATCCAATGTGCTCTTGGATGACACTTACACCGCAAAGGTATCGGACTTTGGAGCTTCAAGGACTGTTCCAGTGGATCAAACGCACGTCGTCACAGGGATACAGGGCACCCATGGCTACTTGGACCCCGAGTACTACCACACAGGCCAGCTAACAGAGAAGAGTGATGTGTACAGTTTCGGAGTCATTCTTGTGGAGCTCTTAACAGGTTTCATGCCGGTCTCCCTCACTAGATTCGGGGACAGGAATTTGGCCATGTACTTCATCTGGGCACTGAAATCAAATCGTGTGTCGGATGTATTGGAGGCTCGGATCAAGGAGGAGGCGATGGAGGAAGAGCTCGAGGAAATGGTGGGGCTTGCAGAGGAATGCCTAAGGTTGAAAGGAGCAGAGAGGCCTACCATGAAAGAAGTAGAGATCAGGCTACAAGGCTTGAGAAGGGGCAAGAAGAAGGAACAAGTACAGTTGACTCATCATCAGAGTGAAGAAGCTGAGCCTCAACTCTGCGATCCGTATCGTGCTTGTCGTCACCAACGATCTCTTGATGGCAATTTAGCTGACACAGCAATCCAGGATACATCTAGGCGACACAGTTTGGAGGAGGAATTCATGTTGTCACTGAACTTTCCGCGATAGAATTCTCTACCTGAATCCATGCTATTCTCCAGGAATTACATCACGGTAAGGTAGAACAGAGATAGATTCGCACAATACCTTAATCCATGCTATTCTATCACTTCTTTACCCTAAAGAATTCTGTACGTATTTCGACACAATTTTCGCAAACAAGGATGATTCATTCTGTAACAATCTTATCGGACTATCATGTTCCACAATGAGGCCTGCTCAAGAACAAGCTCAAATCAGATACTGTCACTGATGCGGGAGCAAAACAAGAGAGAAATAGGCTATCATTTTAATCACACCAACCATTATCAAGCAGCAAGGTTACATCGATGTTGATCACAGAAGTAATCCGATGAGCTACTGTTATGACGGTTGATCCCAGGAACTGCTGCCTCAGAGTCCTCTGGATTATGCTGTCGGTAGCAGTATCCACTGAGGCAGTTGCTTCATCAAAAACCAGTATCTTGGTCTTTCTCAAGACCACCCTACCTAAACAGACGAGCTGGCGTTGACCAACACTCCAATTCTCTCCTTTCTCAGTCGCTGCAAGTCAAGCTGGTCATCACACACAACTGATGATTCAAACGTACAGACAGATCCATGCTATATCTATTACCTTCAGAGTCAAGCTTCAATTGCTTCCTCCTAATCTCTTCTCCAAGTCGACAGCAATCCAATCCCAAAACAGCAAAAGAGAAGACGAATAATTTAGGAATGAGAACCAAAACGAAATTGTTCTATTGACGCACCTTCCATATCTGTTAATTTGTGTACTCTTCGAGTGGATCTACATTCTTGCGCAGGGTTCACTTTGAACATTATTGGATCCTGTGGGATGATGCTCAATCTGGATCTCAGGTCATGCAATCCAATGGTTGAAATGTCAGTGCCATCTATGAATATGTGAGCGACAGTAGGATCGATTATACGAAAGATTGTTTGTATCAGGGTGGGTTTTCCACTGCCTGTCCTGCGGACATTCCCGGTCTTTCTTCCTCCAGGAAATCTGCAAGTGAGACCCCTTAACACGAGGCATGTGCAGGCTGTAACGAACCTGCACCAAAATGATCAGTGCTTCAAGAACAATGAATCATTAGGATTTGGCAGCAACTTTCAAGATACCAATAGAGAAACATTAGATACAAAAGAGATATTTGGTCCTTTCAATTACCTTTGCATTTCAATTCTGACCTTGGGCATGAACAGTATTTGTTTCCTTGCATGTTTGTTCAGCTATATAACAACTCACAGTACAGAAATATACAACCAACAGGATTTAAACTTAAAATTGCTGATGAAATCACATGTACAGACAATCAAAAATAACAATCAACAGATGCAATATATAGTAATAAATAGAAACAAAATGTAAAATTTTACAGAGAGAAATGTGAAGAAATCATTGAAAGGGTAGAACTACCTGCAAGTTCAGAATGTTTTATTTCCCCCCTTGAAGGCCAGCTACGTTGAGGTCTGTTCTCATTTAGGATGAGTGGTGGTTCACATGGAATGCTTGTATACTGAAGTAGTCTCTCCACAGATATAATTTCATTCTCAAGATTGACAGAAACCATATGATAGATGTATGTAGAGCATTCAGATAAAGCCCATATGGCACTGCAAGACAAGCAATACCTAAAGCAGAAGACAAAAAAAGGTTGTTAAATGATGGATACTATGACTGACTTATTTCCGTGAATCAGTAGACAGCAATGAGGACTCATATGAAGACAAATGAGTCTGGGCCTCACCTCTAGATGATTGTACTACTGCAAATAGTATTATGCTAACCACCTATTGAGAGAGACTGTTTAACTCATACAGCATAACTGGCCTAGCTGGAAGGTGATATGGAAAGTTAATGTTTAACCAAAGATCAAAATATTCTTTTGGAAGATGTGTTGGAGCAGACTTTTGATTCGGGCTCTTTGCCCTTTCTCTTTTAGGCTCTGGCTAATTTTACTTAATAGATTCTACTCTTTCCTTAAAAGAAAAAAATATTACAATGCAGGAGACTGCTAAGTCCATCAGTGAAGCAAGTGCCATGATAGGATATAAGATCAACAAAGCCAACATAATTTGCACAGGGAGCAGCCATGATCATACATAGACCAAATGAAGAAATCGATCCTCTCACCATTGACGCTCATGTAATTGATTATTTCTGCACTTTTACTTGAGTTACTAGCGTGTAAATCCCTTTTGGAAGACCATAGCAATAAGTGAAGCCTTAAACTTGATCCCAACCAATTGCAATCTGAAAATATAATGCTCGTCATAGAGACCCTCAACAAGCTTCGATAGAATGAAGGCCAAAACCAAATGGTACCCTTCATTAGCAAATCGTCGATCACTTATTAAGGCATCGAATGAAATGATTAATGAGATAGTGACCAATATAGGAAGCCAAAGCTGATACAAGTGTGAGGAGAGCTGACAACACAATTTTGGCTTCCAAGCAGAGAAGATTAATGTTAGTTTGGCAAGTCCCACATAGTCCCACATCAGAAAAATCAAGTTTGGTATCTCCTGTTTAAACTATAAATAAGGGTATAGACTTTGAAGTCAGATGTATCACAAGAAAAACCTAAGTGTTTGCTTTGGTTTAAGTCCACACTCAGTTAAATAGTTTGGGCTTAAAGTTTGGATTTTTCTTGTTTAATATTTTCGGGTGTTTTATGACCTAGGAACATCTTCCTAAGGCATTTGTAATTGTCTCTCTTTTTATAGTAGTAATTTGCTCCGCTCCTTCTTCGTCCGTGGATGTAGGTCAATTGATCGAACCACGTAAATTTGATGTTCTTGTCTCTTTCTATGTTTATGCTTTATTGTCTTTATTGGGTTGCCAAATTACCCTATGGTAAATTCTTGGGGCCAGCTCTAACAAACTGGTATCATAGCATGGTTTCGGGATCTTTTGGCAACAATACCCGATCAAGCATTATTCTAAATCTCTTTGATAAGGTTTTACGGGAGGTAGCTACGGAGACTACGACTAAGAGCATGTGGGACAAGCTTAAAGCCTTGTATATGAAGAGGACAGTGGAGAATCGTCTCTACTTGAAGCAAAGTTTGTATATGCTTCGGATGACTGAAGGTACATCTATACTCTCACATCTTGATAAATTTGATTCTTTGATTATGAATTTGGAGAATATAGATGCAAAAATTGATGATGAGGATAAGACCCTGTTACTTTTGTGTTCTCTTCCCCAATCTTTTAAGCATTTCTGTAATACTATGATTTATGGAAAAGAAATAATTTCGTATCAGGAAATTAAATCTGCACTAAAATCTAAGGAGCAGATAGACAGGGATATCACTGGGGAAAGTAGAGGGAATCAGGCTGAGGGTCTGGTTGTTAGGGGTAGAATGGATAAAAGAAAATTTGACAATAGTAGATCTAAATCTAGATCTAAATCCAAACATAGAAATTTGGAATGTAGATATTGTCATAAAATGAGGCACAAACTGATTGCTTTAAATTGAAAAATAAATTAAAGCAAAAGAGAAAAATTATTGAGAAAACTACTAAGTCCGTTGAAGCTAGTATAGCAGCCGATGAGAATGTTGGAAATATTTTCTTTGCTACTGATGGCAGGACAAAGTCTAAAAATGAATAGATTTTAGATTCGGGTTGTTCTTATTACATGTGTCTCAATAGAGATTTGTTTTCAACATATGAATCTTGTAATGGTGGAATTGTTTTGATGGACAATAATGCCGCATGTGATGTTGTTGGTAGAGGCACAATCCGAATTAAAATGCATGATGGTATTGTGAGGACGCTCACTAATGTTAGACATGTTCCTGATTTAAAAAAGAATAACATTTCTTTAGGCACCCTAGAGGCTCTTGGGTGTAAATACACAACTGAAGGTGGAGTTATGAAAGTTTCTAGAAGTACCATTGTTGTTATGAAAGCTTGTAGGTTTGATAGCTTATATATTTTGTAGAGAACTACTATCACAGGCTCGGTTACAATCTCGTCATCATCATTGTCTGATTCTGACATCACCAAATTATGACATATGCGTTTGGGTCATATGAGCGAAAAATGTTTGAGCATATTGAGTAAAAAGGGTCTACTTTGCGGATAGAGTACTGAGCCACTGGATTTTTGTGAACACTGCATTTTTGGAAAGCAGAAAAGAGTCAGCTTCAATTCTCCGACAGTTCACAAAACGAAAGGTACTCTTGACTATATTCATTCAGACCTTTGGGGTCCAGCTCGTGTTCAGTCTAAGGGTGGTGCTAGGTATATGTTGACTTTCATTGATGATTATTCTAGGAAAGTTTGAGTTTATTTTCTGAAGCATAAAAATGATGTTTTTCTAACCTTTAAATAATAAAAGGCTTTGATTGAGAAGCAAATAGGTAAACATATTAAGCGGCTTTGAATAGATAATGGCATGAAATTTTGTGAATGTGACTTTGATGAATTCTGCAAAAATGAAGGAATTGTTCGGCATCGCACTGTTAGGATGATGCCTCAGCAAAATGGCGTGGCCGAACGTATAAACAGAACACTCTTGGAGAGAGCAAGGTATATGATCTCAAATGCAGGGTTGACAAAGGACTTTTGGGTAGAGGCGATTAATATGGCCTGTTACGTTGTCAACCACGCTCCTTTTGCAGCACTTAATTTTAAAACTCCGGAGGAAGTTTGGTTAGGTATTCCTACTGATTACTCTGATTTAAAAATTTTTTGGTGTCCAGCATACATGCATGTAAATGAAGGAAAATTAGAACCTCGAGCTAAAAAGTTCATTTTCCTTGGGTATGCTTCTGGGGTGAAAGGATACAGATTATGGTATTCTGATCCCAAATCCCCAAAATTTGTAATCAGAAGAGATGTTACTTTTGATGAATTATCTATGTTATCTTCCAAAGAGGAATCTACTAGTTGTACAAATGATAGTGCGCAGAAGCAGGTGGAGCTTGAGATTAGTAGTTCTGATTTTTTTCAATCGAACTCTTCTACTCAAAGAATGCCAGTAGATGGTCTCGAGTCTACTAACGAAGATGATCCAGAGGAAGAGCAATATTCCATAGCCAAGGATAGACCACAGAGAGATATTCGACCACCACAAAGCATATGCTTTGTCTGTTGCAGAAGAAACAAGTGAAGTTGGTGAGCCTACTACCTACTCAGATGCAGTTTCTTGTGATAATTCCGCTAAGTGGTTTATTGCGATGAATGAAGAAATTGAGTCTCTCCATCAGAATAGAACTTGGGATCTTGTGAAGCCGCCTTTGTGTAAGAAAATTGTTAGATACAAATGGGTTTTCAAAAGGAAGGAAGGTATTCCAGGGGTTGAAGATGCAAGATATAAAGCACGATTGGTTGCAAAGGGCCATAGTCAGGTACATGGTGTTGATTTTCATGACGTATTTTCAGTTGTTGTTAAACATAGCTCTATTCGTGTTTTGCTTGCTTTAGTTGCCATGTATGATTTGGAATTGAAGCAACTTGATGTCAAGACAACTTTCTTACATGGTGAACTTGAAGAACAAATTTACATTGAACAACCTCATGGATTTGAAGTTGACGGTAAGGAAGACCATGTTTGCTTGTTAAAGAAATCATTGTACGGATTGAAGCAGTCTCCAAGACAGTGGTATAAGTAAGAGGTTTGATTCTTTTATGTTGAGTCATTGTTACACGAGGAGCATGTATGATAGTTGTGTCTACTTCCGGAAGTTAACTGATAGCTCTTTTGTGTATTTGTTGCTTTATGTTGATGGCATCTTATTGTAGCTAAGAATTTATAAGAAATTCACACTTTGAAAATGCAGCTGAGTAGTGAATTTGAAATGAAAAATTTGGGAGCAACTAAGAAAATTCTTGGCATAGAGATCAAAAGAGATTGAGGAGCTAGAAAATTATTTCTAACTCAGAAAAATTACCTCAAGAAAGTCTTGGAAATGTTTGGCATGAAAAATGCTAAGCCAGTGAGTACTCCTCTTGCTAGCCATTTTCGGCTATCTGCTGCTCAGTCACCACAGTCAGTTGAAGAGAAAGAATATATGGTGCAAGTTCCATATTCTAGTGCCATCGGCAGTATTATGTATGTAATGGTTTGTACTCGTCCAGATATTTCACAAGTAGTCAGTGTGGTTAGCAGATATATGTCTTGCCCGGGTAAACACATTGGCAGGCTATGAAGTGGATTCTCAGATACTTGCAAGGGACTTCAGATGCTTGTTTGGAGTTTGGAAAAAATCGTGACACTTTGGTTGGTTACGTCGACTCTGATTATACTATGGATCTTGATAAACAAAGATCTTTGACAGGCTATGTTTTTTGCATTGGCGGTTGTGCAGTTAGTTGGAAAGCTTCCTTACAACCTGTCGTAGCTTTATCTACTATAGAGGCAGAATATATGGCAGTGACAAAGGTGATCAAAGAAGTTTTATGGTTAAGAGGTTTGTTCGGCGAATTATGTCTACATCAAGGTGTTACTACAATTTACTGTGATAGTCAAAGTGCTATTTATTTGACTAAAGACCATATATATCATGAGAGGACAAAACAAATCGATGTGAAGTTTCATTTTATTCGAGATATTATTGCTGAGGGAAAGGTCCTTATTCAGAAAATTCATACGAAAGACAATCCAACTGATATGCTTACGAAATCTCTTCTGGTTTATAAATTCAAGCAGTGCTTGGACTTGGTTGGTGTTCATTGTTGGTGATTACCCGTTTGGGCTTTTGTGAAGAAGGTGGAGCAAGTATTGTTGGGACATGCCAAGGTGGAGATTTGTTAGTTTGACAAGTCCCACATAGTCCCACATCAGGAAAATCAAGTTTGGTATCTCATATTTAAACTATAAATAAGGGCCTGGACTTTGAAGTCAGATGCATCACAAGAAAAACCTAAGTGTTTGCTTTGTTTTAAGTCAACACTCAGTTAAATAGTTTGGGCTTAAAGTTTGGATTTTTCTTATTTAGTATTTTCGGGTGTTTTATGACCTATGAACATCTTCCTAAAGCATTTGTAATTGTCCCGCTTTTTATAGTAGTAATTTGCTCCTCCTTCGTACGTGGATGTAGGTCAATTGACCGAAACGTGTAAATTTGATGTTCTTCTCGACCAAAAAGGTTATGTTCAAAATCCGAGAACACATGTCGAACAATATTACTACTAGCTAATTGGGGCACATCTTTAAGGTTTAATGTCTTTTAGTGACCTACAAAAAGCAAAGGGCTGATCCAGGAGAAGAAAACGATACTAAGCACACCAATAGCTTCAAATGACGAAATGGAGCCATGTGCAGTTCCTCTTCCGTCACAACCATTCAAGAGAGATTCCTTAAGTGTAGGATTTCTTCCCTGAATCCTTTTCCTTATGAATCCAGCATAATTAAGAATCAATCCATAGAAAGGCAAATGCAAGAAGAAAGTCACAAGAGAACCCACCGAATCTTGAGGAAGCCTTGAGCAAAGCAAGCAAGCAACTATGGCAAACCATGCAACTATTGCGACTGCCAAACCCACTTCAACGGAGAAGCCCGTCGCCATTCCCAGGGCACACAAGAGGGCCGATCTGTAGTGCAAGAATTTGTCGTTCGTTGCTCTCCTATTAGAGTTTTGGCGAGGTTCACGATGGTGATAGAGAAGCAAGAGACAGAGGTGACATGAAGCAGAGAAGCCATGCCTTGCAACTAGGAGCAACTCCAAGTCCTTAACGTCTCATGATCTCTCTGAGACTCAAGAGGGAGGAAGAGGAGGTCTTCCTCTTGGATGAAAGGAGCAGTCCACGCAAAGATGGAAAATGAATGTTCTGTTGCATTCATGCAGAAGAACAACATGAAAATGAATCTGCTAAAAAAAGTAGTAAGATGCGGGAAACGTAATCCATTAAACTTAGCATGGCAGAAACCACGATAGCCCATTGGGAATTTGAAACAGTAGTTTACGTCAAGTACGTACCACCGTCGTCTCAACATGCGATTGTCATCGA